GCCTTGGCTTTGCTATTCAGCGCTCCACCAACGCCAACCAAGTCTGCCGAAGCTGTTTCTCTGTCATCAGATACATGTAGGTGAAATATGGCTCCGCGGTCAGTGTGAGTCTTCAACTCAATCACAGTACTGGGATCATGTAAGCGCATTCCAGAAAGACAGCGAATATCGATGGCTAGGGATGCCAAGTTGCGCACATGGCCAGCTTGCTGCCCGATCTGCATGAGTGTATGTACATTGAAGTATGCCAGATGGAATGAGGACCGGGGCCGAAGGAGTGCGACCGGTCGAGCTCTGTAGTCGTTGAGGAAAGCATCGGGCTTATAATCATGGAACGTGGAATCAGCTATTCCGCATTAAACGCCCAAACTTCTCTGCAAAACTTCTAGCTCAGCCGAAGAAGAATCAGAAGTCCAACGACCTTGACCGAGAAAAACGTGTTAACCAAAACGCCGCGAAAATGCTGTACAGCTGCCCCAGCTCTTCGCCAGATTTATAGGTAGCTCAATGGTCTTCGGCTTCTAGAAAACGAAGGTCAACTGGTGAAATTGGGAGCTTCCTTGCCAAAACTCCGTATGTTGGTAGTCAAGTGAAGGAATGGCAGGTGCCAGACTCTTCGAAAGCAATGCACAATCGAAGTTAATCGATTACTTGCTGAAATTACATGTTTTCCTTGATGTTTTCACCTTATCCCGGATATCAACTGACAACGGATAACAGTGATTGGTGGCGTATGAGCAGCTGGTAAATGAAGGTGTGTGACTAGCAGGAGCAAAAGTAGCCTAGAGCAATATTGCCGAATTACAGTCTCTGGTTTTGTCAGTGGGCATGATACTACCCGGTTACCAAAACCGAAGTAGGGAGTTGTCCTTGGGGACACCACCCCGAGCCTTTGGCTAAATAGCCTGTCCGCAAAGTCGCGGGGAGATTGTGAGACAGAGTTAGTCTGACCTCTAACCATTGATCTGTCTGGTATGAGTGGCTGATGATGAGTGGAATGCTATCCAAACAGCTGTATGCGCAAGTTTACGAGTAGCTGCTTCATCAACACGCCGGTAACCTGTACGGATGCATCCCTGTCGCGCGGGCTACGCAGGTCCGAACAGGTTACTTTTGGATTGCCGAGTGAACTCCTCCTCCCTTCGGCTACTAGCCAGTAGGAAGGTTAAGAATGTCACACCACCTTACCAGTGCGTCAGCAGTCACTTAATTAGTTTAGCTACAACAAGCGATACAGTTACCAAGACATATAGGATGATGGGCTTCTTCGATTTTTCGTTCGGCAGCCAAGGGAAATGAGGTTACCTCTACTCACTTTTACGTTCTCACCTTCGCCGAAATCGCTCCTTTACAACTAATCTCTTGATTGCTTGTGCAAACTGGACGGAATCTGTGGACGCTGGCGTAGGAGTCGACACGGCCTACTTGGATTTCTCAAAGGCATTCGACCGTATAGACCATCGCATTCTCCTCCACAAACTCCAGAAATATGGAATCGGCGGTCCTGTTCGTGGCTGGATAGGAGACTTTCTCGTGCAACGTCACCTGAATGTGAGGGTTCGAAGCAACCTATCAGAATCCATCGAAGTTCAGTGCGGCGTACCTCAAGGCTCGGTACTTGGACTCCGCTTATTCCTGGTTTTCATAAATGATGTCGCGAGTGTGCTATCTTATAACTGTTTGCTATTTGCTGATGACCTAAAGGTATGGTGCACTATAGCTGCAGTGGAGGCTCACACAATCTTACAGGAGGAACTGGACAGAGCGTGCAGATGTTTCATCTAGAACATGCTGCGTTTCAACGTCACCAAGTGCAAGGTTCTCAGTATACGGCACAAGAGTATGCACAACTACCGCCTAGGACCACACGTGCTACAGCGGGCTTCTCACGAGTGCGATCTCGGCGTGATAGTTCATGACGACCTCGGTTGTTCGAGGCAGACTGAAAAGGCAGCTAAGAAAGCGAACCAGTATCTCGGCCTTCTTCGCAGAGCTTTCGGGAAGTTTGACCCTTCAGTCTTTCCAGAAATGCTTAGTGCGTACGTGAGACCGCACGCGGAATACACTATTTAAGCGTGGCAACCCTGGCTCAAGCACCATCTCACCGCGCTCGATACTGCACAACGTAGGGCAACGAACAGCGTCAGAGGTATGACCAGCCTCCCCTACCCACTCAGGCTGAAGACTTTCAAAATATACAGTGGACGTTATCGGCGTCTAAGGGGCGGTCTCAAATTGGTGTACCAGATTCTGAGAAACCCCAACCACCCATGCCATTCCCTTCTAACACAGTCAAAACACCTCGCTAAGAGGTCACCAGCTTAAGTTAGTCACTCAGTACAGCCGCCTGGAATGTCGGAGAAACTATTTCTCCCTTCGAGTGTCACAGCCTTGGAACGCCCTCCCGAAACATGTAATTAATGCACCCACTCTATCCCTTTTCAAAAAACGCCTTGACGATAATCTGTCACATTTACACTACGTGCTATAGCTCATGACCACCAGATGCTGTCACTAATGCACAACAGACAGGGGATAGTGCCATAACCCTACTCGAGAATGAGTCACTCCAAACGTCATGCACGAAATTTGATAAACGCTACTACCATAGAAACTGGATTTCTGTATCCTGTCTACCCAAGATAGTTGCACACGAGTAAGAGTTGTCCTTGCTAGCTTTTTTTATTTTTCTCGCCTATGATGTGATCAATAACCACTCCCCTTATTGCTTTGTGTGCGTACATTCTCATTTCAAACCCTTTATACGACAGTGCAGTTACATTTGTAAGCTCCCGAACTGGCGACTTCATTATCCCATCGCTATCTTTATTTGTCACCCTAAACACCCTACGGGACATGTAAAGCACCTGCTTTTTAACCCGTTATAAATCATTGTTCAGTGTTCAGCTTAAAGATACATAACAAATTCGATGTGCTGAAAGAAGTGAATAATAATTGGTAACTGGTTTACCACATCTGAAGCTTAGTTTGTAGCTCCATGCTAGTTTGTAGTGCTGCCTATACTTGATGTGATGTGGCAGAGAAACTTGTATTTTTCCCTACTCCCTCTACCTCGAGTTGCTTTACCGGTTAATGGTCTATGAGAAGCCGTTACACATAACAAGTAGAGCCTATCGGGGTTCTTACATATTCCCTTTCCTCTTCGACTTTATGACCGGAACACACAGATGATAATGTTCCCTCATTTTTTATAGATTGGAAGCGTTATCGAGTGACCAATTGACGGAAGCTGGAGCATGCGGACGGTATAATATTTCCTGGACCGGAACAATGTTATGCGCAATAGCTTCTGGATAGCTGGACTCAGGTCCTTCTAGCCATCAGATTAAGAGATATTGTTGCAGTACTGAGTAAACAAGTTACCGGTTATAGTTAGCACCGATCAACCCCTGAAAGTGGTCGATCCGTTCACTTGCGTTGGTCGTTATGTCAGTACTGTCGGCTACACTGCCGATGCTCTCCTTATAATACTCTAAAAAGGGAGTGGAAGTTATCCTCGCTGAAACTCGAAAGCCGTAACACCGCTGTAACATCGGTCATGAATTCCCCATCTGCTAATTGCAAGTGGTATTTGGCCGGAAACGGACGATCGATGAACAGGGATTGTTACCCTGTATCGGGACTTTACAAAAGTTTTCGGTTGTCTGGAGCCCCGCATCTTCTTCACAGACTCTACATCTACAAAGTCGGGGATATTGTCGTTTGGTTCAGCAGGAAATTTCCTGTGCCGGCAGCATTTGTCGGTTAACATTCGATCCGATTCTTGTCAAGTGCTATGTTTCACGGAAATAGTGCCGCGGCCGCGCGCATGATCGCCCCAAGTTTTCTACCTGTTGCTGATGATATTAAGATGATCACGGAGATCACGGGGAGATGTAGCGGAGCTTGATCTTCCGCACCGTCGCTAGTGTACTAGCTGTTTCTAAACCTGAATTGCTAGCGACCGCAATGAGTTGTACGCAACTGCAGCTGATTTGAGTTAAAAATATCATTGTTGAAGTATGTGCTGTTGTTACTTTTAATTTACTTATAAACAGTAAAGTCATCGAGTTCCGGTTTATTTTTTGGTCGGATTCCAGTGGAAAAGCGTTACTCGATCCGTTGAAGCTAATTTTGTTGTTTTCTCTGGTGTTTCAAGACATGATAACTGGATCCACCACCAGTTGGTGCACACTTCGAGGAGTTTTACCGAAAGGAACCTTGCATCCACTAAATGCGACAGTGCAGAATACGAATTACTGTTGTCTGGTCCTTGGTGTCGCCGAAACCTGGCTGACAAGTGAGTCGAACAACGTACTCCATGTGCTTGTGTGATTCGCTCAGTATTGTGACCTTGAACCACTTTAAACACCCTTATCTAAATCAATGGAGGGAGTTGATATCAGTAACGACGAAAGTCTGAATAGCTTAATGAGTTGTCGATTGAATGCGCAACTTTAAATATATATATATATATATATATATATATATATATATATATATATATATATATATAGTGCACGGAACAACCATACTCAGTGGCGAAATAATACTTAAAGTTTGTAGGCAGTTGAGTAGTTGTGGGATGCGATTGGAGCCAGAATTTTAACGTAGTCTACTCAGTGGCATGGGATACGCAGGTAACCGTGGTGGCTTACCGATGGCATCTAATGGGCACATTAAAACCTCACTCCCACATTTGCTTTCATGGACCTTCGAGGCTGCATCAACAGTGGGGTTGAGACAGCTATATCGCTAAACGAATGTGTAGATGCTTGTAAGGAAATTATCGAAGTCCTTGCTTAGATTGGGGCATGGGCAGCATGGCGAATTGAGCCTAGATAGGACAAGGAGAACGTAATAATTTTAGACTACTTATTTTTTGACGAGTAAACGCGCGGAACATTCTCACGGTCATTAAGTGGGTTTGTTACGACATTACGCAGTGAACCGGATATCATTTCATTATGAAAGGGGATATTCTAAAGGAACCAACTCACGTCGTTGGATATTCCGATGTAAGTGCCACCGTAGCCATTTTTGAGCACACTGAGACACCGATATATGGCATTTCTCAATGTGTAAAGATCCTGCAAACGAACTCGAAACACTAAAAGTGCGCCTGTCATCTGGATGCTTTCAGTATTCTTAGCCAATTGCGCGACCTTATTCAGGGAACTGAAGACAACGCTGACCTCTTCGGTCGATAATTTTGAATTTGCTCGGACCTTACACTCCTTACTGGCGTTGGCCACGTGGATGTGCGATGCCAGTTCTGGTGAATGTCACCTGAATGGCTGTCCTACATGTTCTAAATTTCGATGGTTTGTTTGACCTCCGTTTGTGGTGCGTGTGTTACGCTAGTCGGTTAAGAAAGTTGGTCAATCTTATATGCCTAGTCAACAGGCCAACTGTCCAAGTCCGACACTGGACGATAAACGCAACGTTGATCTTTCATATTAATTGCAACTTCGGAGTACAGAACTGTGAACAGACTAAAGAATTTAAAGCGCCAGTGTACTAATGTGCATGCGTGTTCCACGAGGATTGCTAGAGTACCAACGACCAGTGGAAATAATTTCTTGAACTATTGTTAAATGGGCATTAGCAGACGTTTCGAACCCCGTGACAGACAAGTGGATTCTGCACACATAGACCTTTAACTTCCAGAGAATTTTTTATGGTTAGTGGAAAAACCAAACAGTGTACAAAGAAAGCGGGTCATTCGCGTCCCCGTTGGCTGTGCGCATGCTTGCTAGGTCAGTATCAGCCCAACCAGTTCGCTTGACTTAAACAACAATAATCCGAGTAAATATTTGAGATGGCTTTAACTGTCTGGCGATATGTCACCACAGTGATATCCATAGACGGCAGATGGAAAAAACCAAGAAAGAGCAAGAAGAGAATTGCGTAAACAAATACATGGATAAAACCGTGACGAATTCAATGCTAAGAATGCTTACCCTTTGGGAGGCCAAGTTTCCGGGCTGAAAGGATAAACTTTGCACATGAATACTAAATGCTTAAGCATGGAACTAGGAAATGTAGATAGTTATTGCACCTACGATATGGTATCGAACTCTCAGAGTGAATAACATTAGTTACACCACGTACTGTCTACGCAGTTTAGCTGTGCGACGCCTTATTCAAATGCGAGGCGCTCTCGAAATCTGTAACCCAAAAAGTCGGCGTCTAGCAATTTCTTGAATGCCTACACCGCTTTTGCCTCAACCATTGCCTCTGGTAAACTGTTCCGGTGTCTCAACACACAACTTTCACAGCGTAAAGGGTTAGCTATCCGCTTCAGATGCGGTATCGCAACCTTGTACAGGTACCTGCGAGTACTGCTTGGGGTACGCACGTGATTGAGCGGCCTCAGTATACGATCATCCAAATGTACTATCCTTCACATCATTAGCAGATCCCATCGAAACCGATGATATGACAGGGTTTGAACACTGGTAGCCCGTGTTGTTTGTTCATCTGTGAATTGGTTCGCCGAGCTTGATTACATGGTTGCACACTTTTGGCCACCACATGTAGTAGCATCGTCAGTGCGGTTATGTGAGTTGGGCAGTCTTGTCTATTGAATTGTTCTTCCGTGACCCACAGGCAGGTGCGTTTCGAAATCGACACCTTCGACTTGCATCCCTTGTTCTTTGCTCCTTCCCCCCCCCCGACTGGAGCAGTCGCTCGACTTGTCCGTCACTTGCCTCCTTTCAATCTTTAACTTTCGATTCCCAGGCGATCTTTCTTTTTCAGTTGTTGGTAGAGGAAGTTGTTGCAAGTGGGCATGTTGGTCGAATTATTGGACGCGAACCATGCTTCTAGGTATCCCCTTCCTTTCTGTGACTCTTCCCTGGCCAGAATCATTGTTTTGTTCCAGTTGAAGCTATTTCTCTTCCCATCAACATGCGCTGAGACCAGTGAGGATGCATAATGTCTTTTGAAGGCCTTTTGATGTTCTTGTGTCCTAGTCGACACTCGCTATCCTCTCTGTCCCACATACTTCACTTCAACATTATTGCGATTTATTTTGTACACAACCTTTGTTCATTATTGTGCTTCCAGGTTGATCTCCCTCTAACTTCGCGAAGTTCGTCGGGCAATTCCAAATGGTGGTGAGTATCACTCACTATGCAGGACCAGTAACACTGAGCTAAAACAGATCCTAAGGGAGGCCTGGTGAACGCAACGGGTCATTGATATGGAGCAGGCAGGGAATTTCCGAAAGCTTTTTCACCTGATCCGATCCACTGGCTGCAAAAGACCAGCTGTAAGCGAAGTTTTGTGCGAATCCACTGCCAACGAAGTCCACTGGTGCGTTGGGCTGAGCACTTTGAGCAGTAGTTCAACTAGCCTGCAACACCAGTGATCCCTCATTCTGGAATCCGTATTGCTCCCTGACGTGTAGACGCTTCACTATCTTCTGCGGCTAAGGTTATTCATGAGCTTCGCCTCCTAAAACGCTACAAAGCCCCTGGCCCGGACTAACTCCGGCTCTTTTCAAAGATGGAGGTCCATCACTTGTTCGGGAACTAACTTCGCTCCTGCACAAGGTTTGAACCACCGTAGCAATCCCGTCCGATTGGGCTCTCACGGATATCGTGCCTTCAAAAAATGCCCGGACAGACTGCGCTAACCACAGAAGGATTGGTCTCTCTGCTGTGCCTCTAAAGTGCTCGCCGCCCTGCTTTTAAGGAGGCTCAGCCTGGTACGCGAACAAAACATACGCGAAGAGCAAGCTGGGTTCCACTCCGGCCGGAGTTGTATCGATCACATCTTTACACTCCGCCAAATACTCGAGCGTCGTCAAACGTTCGGCCAGCCAACGATCTTTGTCTTCTTAGACATACGATCCGCGTTTGACTCAGTTGACCGAGCTACTCGCTGGAGCTGTCCCTTGAGAAGCCTAGTGCCTGCGAAGTACGTTAACATCCTTCGAGCCATCTACTTCCGAATCTCGGGCCGAGTGCGGGTGTACGGCGAACTTTCGCCGCCCTTATCACCAGTGGTGTGAGATAGGGCTGCCCTGCATCACTCTTCCTGTTCAATTTCGCTATTGATGACATCCTGGAGAGCGCTCTAAAGCATTGCGGACTCAGCGTCGTTGAAATGTTTCCGGGGGACCTACTTCACGATTTGGAGTATGCAGACGACATCGCTGTAATTTGCGTTTCCTCATAGGCCTCCCAATATCTCCTTTATAGGTTGGCGGTGTCTGCCTCCCAGTTTGGGATGACCGTCGCTTCTTCGAATTGTAAGACCTTCGTACAGGACTGGCCAGGATCTGCTCCAACCCTTACCCTTTCAGGTAAATCTCTGGAAATGCTAAGCAAATTTGTTTACCTTGGAACCTGCATTAGGGCTAACGGTACAACGGAGGAGGTCTCCTTGCGCGTCTCTAAGGCCCGGGTTGCGTTTTCTAATCTCCGCCATCTCGTGTGTCTCCGCTACCTGAGTCTGTCCTTGAAGAGCCCAGTCTGCAATACCACAATGAGAGCAGTCCTGCTCTCCGGTTGCGATACTTGGCCTGTTCGCGCGAAGGACGTTCAAAAGTTTCTGTCTTTGATCACCACTGCCTTCGGAGCATTACTGGTGTACGGTGCAACTTCACATTAGCAGTGTGGATGCTCGCCGAAAGGATTTTAATGCCAGACAGATTTTGCCGGTTGCTGAGTCACATAATTTCACTGCATGCGCTTCGGTGGCTTGAGCACGTGCTTCGCATGCCTACTTAGCGTTCGCCTCCGCCTGTACATTTTGCGTGCATAGAAGTCCGCTGAAAGCGAAGACAAGGTGGCCAACGAAGAACTTGGGCCAAAAGTACTAAGGCGTTGATTTCACATTTGGCCACGTTCGGGCTCTCTCGACTCCCCGGTCGGGGGCCCAATTACCATGAACACTTGGCTGGAAACTTTATCAGACATGTCAAGAAACCGTGAGCAGTGGCGAATATGTTGTGAGAGCCTGCTTTCATGATTCCAGTTTTGCACATTTTTACCCTCTCTATTTCCTTATTATTGTTGTATTACTATGTTTGTTCATACCTTGTGGCACCCCGCCAATTGTACTTTTGGCAGAGTTCAGCATGTATATTTAGCTTTGACATTGCTCTTCTCAAGGTAGTAGTTGGCTTGCTGGCAACCAAGGCATGGTATTGTTTGAACAATCTGACTGGCACTTCATATATGTTCTTCATATAGACAACATGATCTGCTAAGTTGCTTTTGGCATTGAAAAATGAACAATGAATTTATACGGGTTAAGAAGCGTTGCTTTACAAGTCCCGTTGGATAGTTGGTAAGAATATCAACATAATAATGAGGATAAGGATATTAAAATAGTTAATACTTTAAATATGAAAATAAGGACTTATTGTTTGTTTCGCTGCAGTCCTACGATCCTCTTAGATTCACAGCATCCACAGTTAACAACAAATAATTCCATGATAATCATCAGGTGTAGGATGGAGACGTAGTGTTAAGTAACAAAGTGTAAGTGGATGAGTGCATCGTCCAACCGTCTTTTAAATATTATTAATGTCGTTGCAGAGACGACCGATTCTAGGAGAACATTCCACGGGTGGCAGACACGGATGGGAAAAAAATTTCTCCGACAAAGTTACGGAATCGGAGATCCAGTACTTGGTTGGATTGGCAACTTCCTTTACCAACGAAAACTCCAAGTACGTGTTAGGGGATCACTTTCTAATCCAATTGAGGTGGAATGTGGTGTCCCACAAGGCTCAGTGCTGGGACCGCGTTTATTCCTGGTGTTTATCAACGACCTGGCAAGAGTCATCTCCTCAAACTTCCTGCTTTTCGCCGATGACGTCAAGATATGGCGGGCGATTAGTAACAAGACAGATCAGGATCTGCTCCAACATGACCTAGATTGCATTTACGAATGGTCAAGGAGGAACAAGCTTCAATTGAACATGGCTAAATGCAAAGTGATGCATCTGTGTCACCAGCCGGTGAGCGCTTTCCAACTTAGAGACCACACCTTGGCGAAGGTTTCTCAGGAGCGTGACCTGGGTGTATTGGTGCAGGAAGATCTCGGGTGTTCAAAACAAGAGGAGAAGGCGACGAGAACCGGCAATCAACACTTCGGCCTTCCTCGCAGAGCCTTCGGTCGGTTTGAACCCTCAATCTTTCCCCAAATGCTTAACGCCTACGTGCGACCTCACGTGGAATATGCTATTCAGGTGTGGCAGCCGTGGCAGAAACAGGATCTCGTTGCTCTCGAGACTCCTCAACGAAGGGCAACC